ATAAATGATGAATTTTGTTAAATTGCACTGTACTTTATTAAATATTGACGTTTTTAAAGATATAAGCTCATCCCGATGTTACACTCATCAAGAGCTTTCATTTGAGTACCCACATGCATTTTGATATATTTTTCATATATATATATATGAAAAATTGAAGTGGGTACTCAAATGAAAGGTTTCGATGAGTGTAATGTCGGGGTGAGCTTATATCTTCAAAAATGTCAATAGTTTACAAGATACAAGGTCATTTCTTAATTATGTATCTAGAGATGTATTTTGATATATTTTCTATATATTCATCTATATAATATATATTTTAAAGATATAAGCTCATCCCGATGTTACGCTCGTCAAGAGCTTTCATTTGAGTACTCATATGCATTTTTGATATATTTTTCATATATACCTATATATATTATATATTTTTAAAATATAAGCTCATTCTAATGTTACACTCATCTAGAGCTTTCATTTGAGTATACATATGCCTTTTTGATATATTTTTCATATATACATATATATAATATATACAAATATATGAAAAATTGATGTGGGTACTCAAATGAAAGGTCTCGATGAATGTAATGTCGGGGTGAGCTTATATCTTTAAAAATATCAATAGTTCACAAAATATTTGCTAAATTTTACTGTACCTTCTTAACTATTGACATATTTAAATATATAAGATCATCCCGATGTTACACTCATCAAGAGCTTTCATTTGAGTACCCACATGCATTTTGATATATTTTTTATGCATACATATATATATAATATATATAAATATATGAAAAATTGATGTGGGTACTCAAATGAAAGGTCTCGATGAGTGTAATGTCGGGGTGAGCTTATATCTTCGAAAATGTCAATATTTCACAAGAATACAAGGTCATTTCTCAATTATGTATCTATAGATAGAATATTTTCGAATGCACTCTAAATACTTATCATAATAAATTGACTATTGGTAAGAATTCTTTGATAACCCTAAAAATATGTCAGATATTATTTACTATATTACAGAGCATGATTTCTTTATCGACATTCAAATATTACATTTGTTCAATATAACTATTTCATTAAAAAAATCCACTGAAACCATATCTTTGTTTCAAATAAATTGATTTAATTATGTCGAACGAGTCTCATTTGATTCAAATAAATTGTTCTTCTGGTATGTGAGGAGTGCAATTCGCTTTAAAAGTTGAATTTTAGCCGACATAAATTTGACTTTTAAATACAATATTAAATACATTATCGTGACTGATTTTATCTACCAAAAAAAATGGACCCTCGATAATTAACGACCTGGGTCGAGAATTTTTCGTAGTCAATTTTACCCAAAGTCCTGAAGCGATAAGGGATCCGCCCAAAAGTAGGCGCCATAAATTCGGGCATTTACAAATATTATATTTACATAATATTTATTCAAAAATATTAAATTAAATATTTAAATAAATAGGATTGGATTTTACTGCAAATTTACCACAATCGCAATTCGACGTCATAAATACCGAGCTTTATATAAATTTATATCTATATATATTTCGCGGGATTATTTATTTTACCCAGTGCTCCACATTTTCCGTCTTTCCACGAGTAAATTTTATCTCGCATCTTAGCAATCTACGTGGTAATAAATTTTATAAGAAACGCACATTCAATACCTTCATTTTTTTTTTTTTTTTTTTTTTTTTTATTAGTGTAAATTGAACTTCCAGTTTTATAAAATTGAATTAAATTAAAAGCTCCTTTGTCGTTAAAACTTTTACTTTTAAAGTGTATCATTACTATCGGACTCTGATGGCTCGACAATAACTGCAACTTACTGTTGCATTTCTCTAGACAAAAGACGTGAGGTACAAGTTTCTCAGAATTTGAACTTTGAAGCAACGAACGGAATAGAACAGTGATAATAATAGCGGAACTAAACCGAAATTGTGAGGAGCCAACAGAGCCGACAGAGCCACGAGAATTTATTGACCCAGTTTGTATAACAATCAGACGCCTTTACACCTATTAATGACGCAAGGTTACCTTATTTAATTACCGTACATGCTGCGAATTAATTATTCCTAATTATCGTTGGTGTTTATTAATCTTTAGATAGATTGGTTGTTTTTTTAATTAGATTTCTTACCGATAAAAAAAATATTTTTATTCAAAATTTGTAAAAATTTCTATTCAAGAATTTTGTCCCTATGAAAAAAATGTCATAATTATTTTTGATAGATTATTTAAAGGCAAAATATTTACATTTCCGCATCAAGAGCTTTCATTTGAGTACCCACATGCATTTTTGATATATTTTTCATATATACCGATATATAATATATATTTTAAAGATATAAGCTCATCCCGATGATAAGCTCATCAAGAGCTTTCATTCGAGTACCCACATGCATTTTTGATATATTTTTTATATATACATATATGTAATATATATATGATATATATATAAATATATAAAAAATTGATGTGGGTACTCAAATAAAAGGTCTCGATGAGTGTAATGTCGGGGTGAGTTTATATTTTAAATAATATCAATAGTTCACAAGATATTTGTTAAATACCCACATGCATTTTTGATATATTTTTCATATATACATATATATAATATATATAAATATATGAAAAATTGATGTGGGTACTCAATTGAAAGGTCTCGATGAGTGTAACATCGGGATGAGCTTATATCTTTAAAAATGTCAATAGTTCACGAAATACAAGGTCATTTCTTAATTATTGACATTTTTTAAGATATAAACTCATTTCGATGTTACACTCATCGAGACCTTTCATTTAAGTACCCACATGGCATTTTTGATATATTTCATATATATCGTATTTGTGGAATATATAAATATATAAAATATATGAAAAATTGATATGGGTACTCAAATGATAGGTCTCGATGAGTGTAACATTAGGATGAGCTTATATCTTTAAAAATGTCAATAGTTCACGAGATACAAGGTCATTTCTTAATTATGTATCTAGAGATACGAAAACGATACCAACTTTATCCATAAAAACCTATTTTATCATATATTCTCTTAATAATATAGATTATAAAACAAATAAAACTCAAAACTTTACATTCAAGAATTTTACCCCCATGAAAAAAATTTCATAATTATTTTTAATAAATAATTTATCATTTAACAACAAATTTGCTAAAGGAAAAGTAAAAAAAATAGAGGGAAAGAGAAAAGAAAGTAAATATTTTTTTATTAACTGAAAAAAAAATTTAGACTGCCCCGACGAGGAATCGAACCCTGATCTTCTAGTTCCGCACTTTTTGCCGGCAAAATATACGATCCTTTTACTATATACTATATCATTATATGAAAAATTAGCATTTATACTGAGAAAAAAAATTTGTTTTGAAAACAATGAGCAATGTTATAGAAAAAAATTAATAAAAAAAAATCTTTTTAAAAATAGAAACTTTAAAAAACTAATGCTTTAGAAAAAAAAGACCGTCTGTCATTTAAATGTCAGATGTTATAAACCCGACCTTCAACGCCCCCACTTAAGGGCGTAATAAATTACGATTAAATCACAAATATACAAATTGCTAAAAATTTATCTAACTCAACACATTGGTATTCGCATAAATTAATATTAATGGTCCCGCGGTTCTAGATTGTAATATATCCACAGATGTTTATTAATACTAACGGACGTACTTCAATCAAAATGGTAATGTAAAATTCAGCGAGTATTGATCCCGGCAAAATTCAAGCAAAAATAGCCTAAAATAGTATCCGGGGTATGTTTACCCTCTTCTACCTAAAAGTAACAATTATCTTCATAATTACATTAACATACTGTACCAAATTGTTGTTCTTCAAAAATCCTATTACCTTAATTGAGAATTCGAGGGTCTGTATCCAAGGGTGTTGTCATGGTAACCTCATGAATTTATCTCGTTATAATACTCTAATTTATTTTTTTTAACTTTACAACTAAATTTTTCAATTTTTTAAATTTTTACCGCCAAATTTTCAAATAATTAAATTTTATTAATAATTTTTAAAATTTTTGCCGCCAAATTTTCAATTCTTTTTTATTTTACCGCCAAATTTTAAAATATTTCAAATTTTTGCCGCTAAATTTAAAACTTTTCTAATTTTACCGCCAAATTTTGAAATTTTTAAATTTTGCCGCCAAATAAGAAAAAAATTTCTTTTTACTCAAAATTCAAAATAAAAATTACTATAATTAATTTTAAAAATAAAAACACAACAATAATTAAAGATTTATAGATATATATTTTCTTTAACTACAATTTTCATTACAATTTGATTTTTTAATTATTACAATAAATAAATACTCATTAAAAGTACAAACATTAGTCATCTGATTAATCGGTTTAATGATAGCATAAATTCATTTAAATTTTTTGGCAAACAAAGCTGAGAAAATGTCATTTTTAATAAATAATTTGATATATGTTATTTTTATATTAAATAAAATTATTATAATTAATACCATTGGTAAAATATTATTTATATAAATTAATACCGTCGGTAATTATAATAATGTATTACAATTTTATTTTATTAGCAAAGCGTTGATAGGAACTCCAATACTCTTGTTTGAGCTTTCCATTTTAAATTGGATTTACAATAAATAATAATTTACTTATAATTAATAATTACAAAAAATACTTTTTTTAAATTAATTAATTAATTAATTAATGTGCAACAGCATATCTCTAAATATTAATTTTAAAAACTTATGTTGACAAAATTTTGTGCTTTAGGCCAACTGATTATTATACATCAAAACTTTAAATCCAAACGTTAATAATTTTTTCTATAAATAATTAAATAATTAAAAACGCTTAATTAAAATAAAATAGAGTAATACTTACAGCAAATATCACTCAGTACCATTTTATACAATTACTCTATATTAAATACACTTTAGTTAATAATTAACCTACGTTATTAGATAGTACCAACAAAAATATATTATAATACTGGTAATCATGTTTGACTTAAAAAGCTACTGTTTTTTGTTATCAATCCCGCGCTGCTCTCAGACATTGGAATCACCGCTGATTTTTCTCCGGTTGGTAGTTTTGTCCTCGATTTAATGTTTGGTTTTATTCCTTTCAGGATGTTCTGTAAAATAATCGATAATTAGTTTTTATCAATTACCGAGGCTTTTAAACGCTCTTTGGTATCGACAAATAAGTTACTTTTTTTACGTATGAAAGTAAAAGCCTATAAGCGCGCTCTTTTTATAAGGTAATTATTTTCACGTTTAATAAGCTCTACCATAAGTGAAATCAATTATAAAATTGATTAAAAAATTTAGATAATATACACGGAAAGAACAAGATGACACTGGATACCATCTCAGATTATACTCAGTGACATCTGAGGTGAAAAAAATTTCCATATGGTAGCTAGTATAATCCAGATTATACTGAATAATATCTGGATTATACTCATTGTAATCTGGATTATACTCATTGTTATCTGGATTATACTAGCTACTATCTGAAATTTTTTTTTCACTCAGTATAATCTAGGATTATATCCAGTATAATCTTGTTCTTTCCGTGTATGTATTGAAAAAAAAATTTTTTTAAAATTATTTTTTTTCTTTATAAAAAATTTCAAAATTTATATAAAGTATAAATCTCTAAAAAAATGAAAAAAAATTTTTTTGGCAAGAAAAAAAATTCTTAAAGTCAAAAAAGAGTAAAAAAAATTTTTTTTTGACTTTCTGCTTTAAAAATTAAAACTTCTGGCTATAAAATTGAAAATTTTCAAAAATTCAAAAAATTATTTCAAATTAGACTTTTATAAATAAATTTTTTTTGTCCCAAGATTTTTTTTTCTCTAATTTCAATTTTTACAACCAAAAGTTCAAAATTTTTAATTTTGAAATCAGAAAATAATCTAGGATTATATCCAGTATAATCTTGTTCTTTCCGTGTATGTATTGAAAAAAAAAATTTTTTTTAAAGAAAAATAATTTGTTGAAAATTTTAAACACTTTTTTTTAGCTGAAGAACTAAAAATTTTTTTTTGATTTGGAAAAAAAAAATTAAATAGACAATTTGGGAATTTTCATATAAAATTTTTCTTTTCCAAATCTAGAAAATTTTTTTTTCAACAGAAAAATTACAATAAAAATCTGTATTTCTTCAGCTAAAAAATAAAAGTTTTAACAAATTAATTTCTTTTAATGCAATATTGTTCATTTTGAAAAAAAAAATTTTTTTTAATTCAAAACAACACTATTATTGAATTTTGAAAATAGAATAAATAAAATATAATTATAGACAATAACATTTAATAACTACTTGGATATTAAATTGTATGTTAATGCTTTTGCAATATGACAATTACATATATCAATATTTATTAGGTTAAGATTAACAAGTTCTTACTGTAAATTTTATTATTTATATTTTTGACCTTTGGAATAAACTTTAGCGTGCAAAATGATAAATATTACAACTTAAACTATAAATTACAATAATTATTCGAATTGAATTATAAAAATTGCAAACTAATATAGCAAAGTAAATGAAGCTTTGTCTTCATGCGCTCTAATATAATTTAATGATAGCATTATGAGCAGTTATTAAATACTAATTCTAAAATCAATAATATTGAATAAAATAGGAGACAGAAAAAGTAAAAGAACATTTTCCGTAAAATATTGAAGGATAAATAATAAATGAGAAATCTGAAACAAAGTTGGTAACTTAAAAAAGATACGAATCGATAGTTCTATTACTAGTGACAGCTTCAATCTTTTATCAAAAGAATCAATTTACGTGACGTAAAAAAATACCTCTTTGATAGAACCAGGTGTGGCGAGAACGTAATAAATAGCGTATGCAGGTATCCATATCATAGAAGAAAAACTCAGGCAAAATCCGACGACTTCGGCCCACGTCGGATACTCATATTTGCTTCCGTATTTCAGGGGCTTGTATTGGACACATTGGAAGACGAAGATGAACTGGAAGAAAGTAAGATAAATATTTACCCTTACCTCGGTGGTAATTTATTGTTTTTTTAACGATGAGATGTCATAGAGCGGATCTAGATGACATTTAGGTCTAATATTTTTTTTTTTTTCTCAAAAACTATATATTAAAAAATAAAATTTGATTTTTTGACAAATAAAAAATATTCAAAATAATTATATTAACTATAAAAAAATTAGTATTAAAAAAATTTTTTCATTTCTGCTATTTATCCAAAAAAACAAAAATATATATATATATATATATATATATATATATATATATATATATATATATATATATATATATATATATATATATATATATATATATATATATATATATATATATATATATATATATATATATATATATATATATATATATATATATATATATATATATATATATATATATATGNNNT